AATTATATGTATAATTTCTACATTATTTTTGCATATGACAAGACTTTTGTCCTGGCAAAAGTTGACCTTTCTGTCCTAATTACACGACAAAACTCAATGAATGATGAAAAACTTTATTTTGGTATAATAAGCATAATCTAGAGGGCTTTGCCTTTCTTATAAGCCATTTCTGATTCCAACTGATTAACTATAGGTCAAGTTCTGTTGTTCCTACAACTGGGTTAAGTGACAAAAGTGACTTTTGTCAGGCACTGTATTGAACAAAGATAAAAAAATAAAAACATGTGGCACTGCAAAAGTTTGGGCACCCTACATAATCAGTACTTAGTAACACCTCTGACAGATATCACAGCTTGTAAATGCTTTTTATAGCCAGCTAAGTCTTTCAGTTCTTGTGCTTGGGATTTTCTCCCATTCTTCCTTGCAAAAGGCTTCTAGTTCTGTAATATTCTTTGGTCGTCTTGCATGCACATCTCTTTAAAGATTTACCCACAAATTTTCAATGATGTTTAAATCAGGGGACTGTGATGGCCATTCCAAAACCTTCAGCTTGCGTCTCTTGAGGTAGTCCATGGTGGATTTCGAGGTACGTTTAGGGTCATTGTCCTGTTGTAGAAGCCATCCTCTTTTCAGCTTCAACTTTTTTACAGATGGTGTGATGTTTGCTTCCAGAATTTGCTGGTATTTAGTGGAATCCATTTTTCCCTCCACCCATGCAATGTTTCCTCTGCCACTGGCTGCAACACAACCCCAAAGCATGATAGATCCACCCCCATGCTTAATAGTTGGCAAGGTGTTATTTTCATGAAATGCTGCTCCTTTTTTTCTCCAAACATGCCTTTGCTGATTGTGGCCAAAGAGTTCTATTTTAACTTCATCAGTCCACAGCACTTGTTTCCAAAACGCATCAGGCTTCTGTAGATGTTCTGTTGCATACTTCTGACGTTGGATTTTATGATAGGGACGCAGGTTAGGTTCTTCTGCTGATTCTTCCATGAAGGTCTTGTAGAACGGTGCAGCACCACTCTTGAGTCTGCTAAATGTTCCTGCAGGTTTTTTTGCAGTCAAATGGGGGTTTTGATTTGTCTTTCTGACCAGCATACGAGCAGTTCTCTCCGAGAATTGTCTTGGTCTTCCAGATCTCATCTTGACCTCCACAGTTCCCCTGAACTGCCATCTCTTAATTACACTTCTCACTGTGGAAACTGCAAGCTGACAACACTTTGCTGTCTTCGTGTAGCCTTGTCCTGCATTGTGGGCATCAGTAACTTTCATTTTCAGAGTCTTACACAGCTGCTTACAGGAACCCATGGTTGCTGAGTGTCCACAAGTGTGTGCACAATGTTTGAAGAGTCAGAGTATTTGTAAAGCTTTGAAATTGGCACCAGCTGACATTTACTAATGACAGCTGTTTCCATGCATCAGATCTAACGAGCTAATTAAGGTCTGAAACCTTGTAAAAAGAATCTGAGACTTTGTTAGAGTGCCCAAACTTTTGCAATAATGTTTTTATTTTTTATATTTGTTCAATTTATGACATAAAAAGTAACTATGCATCAATGTTTGGTGAAAATATTTCCTACAGAGACTGTGTTTACATCTTTAAAAAATGACCAAAATATGTTATTTATTGAGGGGTGCCCAAACTTTTGCATAAGTCTAACTTATGATCACTAACAAGATGATCACTTAAGCATGATTTTCTTTGACTGCCTAAGACTTTGGCACAGTATATTTAATATGTGTATGTTCTATGTTTGATTTATTGAAGGGTTATTTGTAGGGTGACCAGATAATCCATGTCAGGGAGGACACTCTGAGCTAGGACAGGAATTGTTAATTACCATTTCAATTAAACAGACCTGGATTTCACTTGAGCACTGAGTTCTTGCTGTGTGCCGATTGGTCAGTCTCCTATAATCATGCATGTGTCACTAATGCTAATATGAAACAGCTGGATGAGTCTTTCAGTCAAGGAAACAAACCAATCAAAGCGCAAGAAGAGCTGATCTACTAAGCCGAGCACAGGAGCCTTTCAGTTTGAAAGTAGTTTGTAAAACCCGAAGTAGCTGCAAGTGTCCTCCCTGACATGGATTATCTGGTCACCCTAGTTATTTGAGAACCACTGATTCAAGTTATTTGACACATGTAACGGTACATCAGCGGGGTCCCTCTTGGATCTCCTTGCTGAGGGCTGACATGCCACTGTGCCTTTGTGCAGGACGTCCTCTTCCCTGTGGAGAAGGTGCAGCTGGTCGGAGGGTACGTGATTCATCAGGTCACTGCCGCTGAGACCCTCCGGAAGGGAGACCAGCTTCAGCTCTTTGTAGACGAGGTAGAGCACCTGCTGGACACTTTCAGCCGCCAGGAAAGTGTCCCCCACCCCCCCCCCCCCCCCCCCCCGTGGTGCTCTGCCTCACCACACTGAGGCAGTGGGGGCTGTGGTTTGCTTTTATTGTCCGCATAATAAAAGATATAATGCCACAGATCCACTGTGATTTGTGAGTGCTTAGAGACATTTTCATACAGTGTTGGCCCTAATGGGTGTATGTGTGGTTGAGTGAGTTAGCTACTTACTGGGATAAGATCTACATCCAACTGGATATAGGTTTGGAGATGGATGGAGTCAGAAGGAGTGATGAAGAGATGGGTGGATGGAGTCATGGAAGGAGTAATGGATGAAGAGATGGTTGAGGGGTCTTATGGTCTTAATTAAGGGTGAGAATTGTGAGAATAAATTGAGATGAGCATCACAGAGACCTGCATGAAGATGCGATGTTCCTGTTGGGTTTCCTTGTTGTATTTACTGAAAGAATGAGACTTGCTCCTATGCTGCTCACAGGCCCAGAGGCTGGCCTGCATGGTGAAACACACAGCCACACACATCCTCAACTTCACCCTCAGGCAGCTGCTGGGAGAGGAGGTGGAGCAGCGGGGCTCTCACATCACGACGGAGCGCCTGCGCTTCGATTTCAGCATCAAGGTGCGTCGGGGTTCAGTGATGCAGTGCGGCAACCCAGTCACAGTGTGGGTAAGACGCCTCAGTGTGGTCTCGTGCTTCCTCCTGTACAGAAACCACTGAGCACCCACCAGCTTCAGGACGTTGAGAAGATGATGCAGGACATTATAAGACGAGACGAGCCTGTTTATGCGGAGGAGTTGCCCTTGCTGGTAGCCAGAGCCATACCGGGACTGCGAACTGTGGATGAGGTGAAAACTTGATGATCCATCAACTTGCATTAGATTCTTTGTAGCCCACTGTTTGTGATATTAAGCCCATTCTTGTGGAGTCCTCTTCAGCAATAGAGGATGTTTTTGTGTCCAAACCGTGGCCTTCAATGTGCTTTAATTGTTCACAAAGCAGTGACGTGACCCAGGGTAATGTCTGCACTGCAGGTCTACCCTGATCCAGTGAGGGTGGTGTCAGTAGGTGTCCCTGCGTCTGACCTGCTCTACAGCTCCAACCCCAGCACAACATCTGTTGAGCTCTGTTGCGGAACGTAAGGCCTAATGCCAATGCTAATTCAACAAGTACGGCAAGCTGTGTAGCCCAAAAAGGAGTTGTTTCACATCTGCTTTTGCTATGTCTACACAGTTCCTGTACATGGTTGTACTCTCACTCTGTACATCAAGAGCAGACTGTGACAAACACAACTTAAAAATAATTGGTGTCACAGTAAATAACAAGGCATGTTGGTAAATTTTGTGAATATCTGTAAGTATTAAATCATCAGGGGGTCCTTAAATTTAGTTTCTTACAAACCATCCTCACAAATTCAAATTCCTCATTTGTCCATTTGAGTGTCAATTGAAATTTCCCAGATTTTATGGATGTTTGACTTTGGTGGTTGTCCCATTCGTGTTCAACACTTTTCAAATGCCGTGACTCAAGAATAGTGTGTCCAGTTTACATGAAAGTGCAAAAAGGTCTCATTGTTCTCAGCTGCTTTCCCAAACACCATCATGGAACACAGCCTTGCCTCTTTCTCTAATTTTAACCCTTTAAACCAGGGGCGGCCAATCTTATCCGCAAAGGGCCGGTGTGTATGCAGGTTTTTGGGATAACCTGTAGGTCAGCTGTTCAAACCCAGGTGTGAGAACTCTTCAGCCAATCAGTCCTCTAATTAGTAATCTAATTAGGCAGTTGCAGCGAAAACACGCGTACACACCGGCCCTTTGCGGATAAGATTGGCCACCCCTGCTTTAAACCCTATAATTCTAAACAGGTCGCCTGGACATATTTGGTTGTTTTAGCTGTAAAAGTGTCATAAAACCTGCTGTATGTGCCTTTGTCCCATTTTTTCACCAAAAATGTCAGATAAAATCACTATTCTGCAGAGCTCCGTCTCACTCACTCACTTTCTCCTCCAGCAACCAACATTCAGATTCCCGGGGCTGCAGTGAAGCCGTGCGGTGGACTACCATAACACTGAAAAGCGCAGCTTCTCTGCTTTCAGAAACCGTTGGAATTTTTTCTATTGTGCAAACGGTTCAAGAGTTATGGTATTTCAAAAATAACATTGAAAAAACCTGTCGGAGGCGACAGCTTCGGTTTGAAAGGGTTAAATTATTCCACATCTGATTCTAGCTGTTTAGTTGTAGGTCTTCACCCCAACACTGTACGGGGGGGGAGAGACAAACACTGGCTGCCCCTCACAGGCTGATGGCTTAATTCACAGGTGCAATGTAAACCACAGGGGTGAATAAAATAACAGAAGCAGCACATGGAAAAGGGCATGATGCTGAAGCGACAAAATCACAATTACAAACGCATCTACAAATGTCAGTCATTAAGAGGCCTGACAGTCGGCACTTTGATACAATAGTTTTCCATATGGAACAACAAAGAAGTCTTGGAACTGTTGATGCCCAAATTGCTGGGGCATTTGCAACAAAATCTGCTAAATTATGTAACATGTCAAGAGAACAGCCTGAAAAATCATGACTGCACATGACGAACATGGACAAATTGCATCTGTAAAGAGGAACAATGACTGCAAGTCCAAGCTCATCTGCAGGGATAGATGGACACTCAGTACCTCCCAAACTGGACATCCTGAGCTTAGGACAGCTGGCACTTATGACTGGGGTTGTGTTCGGAAAGCTGGTATCCAATCAGTGGTCCCATTTGCCGTTACATACAGGTCAAACACACAGTTGGGAATATGCTGTGGTCACCTTAGCATGTCTCTGGGCTCGTGTTAGCCGCCAGCACACAGGCATCGCTCTGCTCAATGACCAGGCTGGATTCCCTGCCCTCCCTTACACTTTCAGGCACCTCCTGAGGACAGGATACATCCGGGACTTCGTCATTGTGTCTGAGAGGCAGATGGTGAAGGGAATCAGTCGCGTTGTAGCCGTCACAGGAGAGGAAGCAAATCAGGTGCAGACGCTAGCATCACATTCCACTTAGGAATTCTATGAATGAGATCTTACTAAGCCATAGCATAAGGTTCGCTTTGCTTTAATGTGCTTTCCATCACCGTTCCGGAGCTCTGCATGTGCACATTAATCTGAGTATTTGTGGGTTTCTGTTAATAGTAAAGGCCATAAACGTGTAATGCTTGCTGTGGACTGCATGTGTTTCATTAGCATGTAACTGTGAGTGTCGTTTAAATCAGTGGTTCTCCAACCTTTTTTGCGCTGCAACCCAATTTTTATCATGATAGTGCAGTCGCGACCCTATATCGAGTATAGATCTAAATTTACGCTATGATCAAGCATGCAGGCACTCTGCAATTTACACCAATCAGTGCCTATCGCACAAATCTTATTGGACATGCCAGTGAATTTTATATTAAGCTTCTATGGATTGGCTTCTTGGATTGAGTCAGTGTTCACTAGGTTTGTGCTAAACAGCTGCAGACTCAAGACCCATTTGTATAGGTTAATTCTAGGACTGGGGCTGGTAAATCTGATCATGGATCAGGAAAGGAGCTTGCGGGTTTTAAAATGCTTACATTTCCAACTCTGCCTTGCAACCCTTTCAGAACTTTGGTCGCGACCCACGGGTTGAGAGACTGATGTAAATTGTTTGTTTCCCTGTCTGTGCCACTTCTAGTATTAAAATAACCGCAGCTGTTAATAGAGAGCAACTTGCATTTTAAAAGAGCTGTTATCTTTATCAAAATGACACACGCGCTCTTCTGCCTCTAATTTTGTGGCATGACATAGAAGGAACAAGGTGGCAGTGTGACAGATTGTTCTCCCCGATGTGTTCGATGTGGTTTTGTCCAGATGTCGTTTGAAGTATACAGCCAACAAAAGGCCACGTGCTGACGTGTGTTCTCCGCCGCGCCTCCTCTCTGTCACGCAGGCTCGCGAGGCCGGCCACGCCCTGGCCCAGGTGGTGGAGTCCCTGTCTGCACGGGTGCCAGCAGCGCCCCCCTGCCTGTCCTCTGCACATGGCCTGTCTAAAGAAGCGGGTTTGCTGATTGATGTGTGTGTCACTTACATAGCAGGGTGTTACACGTAGGAGCTTCTCATTTATGAATCGCTTCATTAGCGCCATAACTTTGATACTTACAAAACAAGTTTTATTAAATAATTACAGTAAATTTGCCTGCTGGTTGAGCTGAGCTTGACTCTGCTTTGCTCTGTATTCTTGACACACAGATATTTGGCTGAGGGTAGTGTGTGGGTCAGCAGGTGACTGACCAGAAGGTTACCAGTTGAAATCCCATAGGCTGTACAGTAATTTTCATTGTGTCCCACAGACAATGGAGGAACCTGTTTTTCAATTTGACTTTAGTTTGCCCAGCATGCATGTGGTAACTGCTCATTGAATTTAAACTTATTCCGTTGGAAAAAAAAAATGTGTGGGGGAGAGGCTGTGAGCACGAGTCGATCAGCTTTAATGCCAGTACCTGGCTGCTTGGGTTAATCATTGTTTGGGATGTTGGTCGGAGAGGAGGCTTGAAAAATTCTATTAAACAGTGTAATACTTAAGGAAAACCATCTTCACCATAAGCTTTCAACAGGCACTCTCCATGTTACGAACAAGATCCATTTTCTAAGTCTAACTTTAAGTCAAATTTGTAGGTAAATCGAAAAAATGAAAATACAGTACAGCATCAGAAATGATTATACAGTAATAATAAAAGTAAGTACATACAGTACTGTCCTGTACTGAGCCAACAAACCACTGAAGCCGTACAATGTTTTCACAAGCATAACAAAGTAGTGCGTGCTTTCGTTATTACGAATCATTTTATTTAACCCAAATTTTTAGTGTAATAGGCTTTATGGCCTTCCACTCATACAGTAAGTATAAGTTGTAGTTGGATGTTCTAAGCCTGGGGACTGCCTGTGTAGCCCTAGACTTGTGACAGATGTGTAAAGGTGTGAAAGTGGAGTAACAGAGAAATGATAAATATTCATTTTAATGATCCTCTGTTATGCACTGTATGTGACTGTAATATGTAATGTACTGCAAGGCAATGAGTGGCGCATAAGGTTCATTAATGCCCATTATAATTATTGAAAGTAAGTTGTGTGTTTGCTGAATGTGTTCATTTTTTATGGCTTTTCGCCACTTCTAATTGGCGGTTGGGTCACAGTGAGTGTGCTCTGCCCCAGGCCGTGGAGAACACAGCCATCCCCCAGTGGCAGAGGAGGGAGCTTCAGAGCCAGCTGCGAGCTCTGCAGAGGGTCGCCAACACCATGGTCAGGAAGCTGGAGATCGCTGAGGTACTTGGCACAGCCAGCCGGAGGAGCCGCACTCTTTTATTAGGGTGCTGGAACCTTTGGACATCTGTGATTTGTCTTGATTCAAGATGCAAGAGATTTATTTGTCACATACAGTACAACATGCAGTGAAATGTATCTGTATCACCCTTATTTGGCTGTGCAAAAATAGAAGAAAAAAGGTAAGAAGTAAAGTAGGAGTAAAAAAAGAAAAATTACAATATATAAATACAATCTATGGAACCAAGTATATAATCTAAAATATACAATCCAAATATACAATCTAAAATCTAAAATATAGTGCAATGGTGAGTGTAATGGCGAGGATGTACAGACTAAAGTTATTTGTACAGTAAAGTGAACATGTGCAGTATATGTGCATTCCAGTACAAACGAACGTAGTGTACAGAAGGACCAGAGTTTGAGTTGAGAAGCCTTATGGCCTGGGGGGAAAAAAACTCTTCCTGAGTCTCTCTGTCCTGGACATTAAGCAACGGAACCGTCTGCCTGAGTTCAGCCTGCGGAACAGACAGTTTGTGGGGTGTGAGGAGTCCTTAATTATCTTAGTAAAGAAAAGACCAGAAAAAGATAAATGGCAAGAAAAAAATACAGCCCAGCACAGAAAAGCGTCTGGCAGCAGCCACGCTATCTTGATCTTATGAGTCATTGATAGTTTAAACCAATGTTTCCCAGTCCAGTCCTTGAGGACGCACAACCGGTCCACGTTTTTGCTGTCTCCCAGCTCCATGCCAGTCAATCCACATTTTTGCTCCATCCCAGTAAGTGGACCGTCTGTGGGTTTCCGAGAACTGGATTGGGAAACACTGGCTTAAAGTGTCTCATTGTCCAGAATTAAAATATACGGGGTCCTAGGGAGCTCTATTCACGTTTCTTTATATTGCATGAAAAAGCATGTTTGTCTGCATCACACACTAACTCGCCTCCTCCTTTATGCGGTTTGTTGGTTTGATTGCAGGGCCTGATTTAGGGTCCAGTGAACCGTAGACTTGGGTCTTGAGACTCACGCTATTTTATCGTCAATCCTCAGGCAGCCAGCAAAGTTCAGGCGTTGCTGATGAAACACAGGGAAGAAAAGCTGGTCGTGGACACCGTGGACACAGACTCAATATCGGTATGCTCTTTTTTGGACATCTGCTTGTGAAAAAGTGACATTGTGCCCAGATGTGCTACTTTCTCCTTGCTCGACACTGCAGGTGCTGATGAAGGCAGTGAATCAGTACAGTAACCAAGCCCCTGGGACCCTGGTCATGTTACTGTCACACCAGCAGTCTGGAAAGGTCCTCTGCGCCTGTCAGGTGCCCAAGGTAAAATATCACAGGACCAGCTTGCTCTGAGTGCTTCTTGTCTCTGAAGGTACTGATGGTGTTACCTTTCGCATGAGCTGGGAAGTTGCTCTGAGGTGTGTGTATGGGTTAGAGCTTAGATCGGGCCCAAAAAATTAAACCC